TTCCACTTCCTCTATAAAACAGAGGCCATTAGGTGACTGTTCTTCCTATGGCAATTCATTCCCTCCCAGTCTTTCACAGAGGAAGATATGCTTCTCTTGCTCAAACTAAGCCTCCTCTCATTCATTCCACTCAGTTTCCTCAGCCTCCTCAAAGTACTTGCTCCATTGAGGACTTTTCTGTTCTTCTTTTCAACCTCAGCTCTTCTAATGGCTCATTTTCTTTAGCCTGCAGATACATTCACACACCTCTTACCCTTTAAATCATCCTATCCTGTCCCTCTAGTATCCTATCTCCTTCTAATCTCAGCCATATTCTGGGAAGTGTCATCTTAAACCAAAGCTTCTCAAACTTTCGTGTTCCTAAGAGTCACTCAAGGATCTTATTATAATGAAGGGAGATTCCGATTCGGTAGTCTGGAGTGGGGCCCGAGATTCTGCATTTCTAACCAGGGAAGTCATTCTCAATAGCAAATGTCTAATTCTCATGTATTTACTTCTCATTCATTCAGAACCCTCTTTTCATCTGGTTTCTAACCCCTACACCTCTAATGATGCCTCATAAAAATCACCAATTTGCTCGCTAATGCCAAAGCCAATGGCCACTTGGCAACCCCAATGCCATCCACCCTCTATGGTGAGGCACTCATCAATTCTCAGTGCAAACTTCTATAATGCCTCCTGGTTTTTCTCTTGCCTATCTAGCCATAGTTTCTCACCTCCTCTTTCAATTTCCTAATTTACCTTCTCATATTTTTAATGCTCAGTCAAGTTCTCCTAAGTCCTATTTCACTCCATATTCTCTTGAAATGACCTCATCCAGTAATTTTCATGTCCGCCCAGGAACTATAGTGCCTGAATCTTCCACTTTGGTTTTGCTGGAGCTCACACTCATATATCCAATTGCCAAACTTGAATCACTAGCATCTCAAGCTCCACATGTAAAACCTAACTATTCTCTAAACTTATGCTCCCTACTTCAGACGGATGCACCACCTTCCTGCCCAAGCAAGATGTAAACATGGAATGACCTTGATATTATCACCACCTTCCACCCAATCATCAAGTTCTTTTGAATCTCCTTAATGTCTCTCAAAATCCAACTTCTCCATCCCATTGCTACTGTCACTGCTGCAGAGATCAGACCCTCATCCTCACAGGCTTGCTAAAAGCACCCTCACTGGTGCAACATCTCCAGTCTCACCCCCTTCAATGCATGCTGAATGCAGCAAGTATAGTTTTTCTCAAGTGTGCAAAACCTTGTGTGTCTCCCTCTAACAAGAAAACAAAGCCTAAGCTTAGGAATGTGACTTAAAGTCCTGGTCATATCTCCAGACTCATCTCCTGCTGCCCCTCCAGAAAATTTTTTTATAGTCCATTCATAGCCAGTGACTCGGAGGCCCCCATGACGTCATGATTTCTGAGATCTTTATTGCATTTGCAGTTCCTCTTCTGTCTTCCTGTAAACTACGCATAAACTTTCAAAATGAAGCTGAGATGCTAGCTTCTGTGAAATGGATGATGTAAATTGAGGGAGGCCTACAGGTTTCTTTTAAATTTAAAAATATGTATATATAAGGTTTACTATTGGGTCGTATTACTCATTTCCTACACACCTTATTATCAAACACAGTTACACGCAACACAGCCTTTGGCAACTTGATCACTCTTGTCTCACTATTCTCATTGCAACTTAAACATACTTATATGAACTCTAGTAATTTAAAACTTCCTACTGTTCATTGATGTCTATTTGCTTGTTTTCTCACTAATTGTGAATTGCTTATGCCTTAATCATTTGTATTCCTAGTACCTTCCTAATACTTCATCTAGATGCTAGTAATTGTTCAATATATTTGTTAAATATAATTTACACTTTGCCATTAAATTCAAGCTCTAACATAATTTTCTAAAGGGAAAGCTTATATAACTATAATCCAGCATCTAATTATGACTATGATAGTTGTACCTTCTTCCTAATAGAAATATTCAAATTAGCTTGGAGGCTTAATGATTTTCTTCTTTAACCTTTTATACCATTATTTTGGTGTTTAGACATTGTATTAAAGTGCACACAAATTAATATTTTCTGCTTTTAATATTTTATTTTGAGTGCATTTTTAACTAAGAATTGTTTAGTAATTTTTCTAGTTGATTTTGGTTCCTTATAGCATATCTAGAAAAAAGAGGCATTAAAAATATTGATTTATATAAGAGAAACTTAGGTAGAGTAGTCACCATTCTGTTGGCTTAACTAGCAGATAGTGGTGCTTTTAGCTCCCACCATCAGGACATGCACAAGGACTCCCCTGAGGGCCAAGGTGGAGCTGATGGATAAGCACAAAGCAGGTTGGTCTTATGTGTGGATGAAGTAGGAGCTTGCCTCTAAAGGATGACATTGGTGTCATTCTTCTCTCCACCAAAGCAAAAGCAAATAAAATACCTTTTCACATTTGGATGAGAGTTAATATGTCTGATTTTGAAATTCTTCTTCCTTGGTTAAAAGGCAAAGCGCTGGGAGTTAGTAAACCTTAACCGATATCTGTCATTTAGGACAAGTGTATTGCTTTCTTTCTTGAAAGAGTATAAAAGATATAATATCTTGTTTAATGTCAGTAGTTCCTAGGAATCCTTTTATTATGTTCACTATCATAACCTCAGTGGCTGATATAAAGTGAGTAATCAATAAAGTAATGATCAAAAGAATACATGAGAAAATATTGACCTTGAGTTAGAAGAAACAACTTTTATTAAAGGAGCCAAATCAACTAAAAAAAAAGGCTTCAGTTGAACCTTAAATACTTATGCTAAAAATAATCTACTCGAGTATATATATCTAAAGTCAAAGTCTTTATCTTATATTAAAATAATAATAAAAACAATTGTGTAATGAAATGAGCACTAATAGTGTGTTTTATACATTGACATTTTAAAATTAAAACAGAAGTTAGACCTCCCTTGTTCTCTCTAATATATATGTTCCACCTCATGGTAATGAGGTGGATTTCTGAGGGGACTCAAGTTATAAATTTGGGCATCTTTTTTTCTGGGAGAGAATGGGCTAATTTTAAAGTTTTAAAATAAATGCTTTAAGATAATGGCCAAGTCTATGATTATTGGACTTTTTATAAATAGAAGGGGTTTCTTAATCTTTCAGAGTAATTAAATCCATTCAACAAACAGGAAGGGTTACCAGGTGCTATGGGATATTAAAAGATAAATAAGAAACAGCTTCTAACAGAACAGTGGGGAATATAAGACAAAGCTCGAACAAAATGTGCTAAGAACTGTAAAAAGTATGTGAGTGGAGGGAGGGAGACAGCTAGTAGTAGGAATTAGAACAAATTGCATGAAGCAGCTAATGTTTTGAAGCCCCATAAAGAACTGTTGAAATTTATGCCATTCTGAACAAGATGAACAAACATCATTTTAGGGAGTGGTTCTGAAACTTTAGGTTGTATAAGAATCTTGTGTGTGTGTGGAGGGGGGTTATTCTGTATCAGTTAGCTATTATTAAACAACGATGTTTAGCAAAACACCCCAAAATACAGTGGCTTAAAACAACCACCCCATGTTTTTTCTCATGATTATGTGTGTTAGCTGGGCAGTTCTTCCAACCTAAGCTGGGTTCAGTTGATCTTAGCTGTGATCACTCATGTATCTGGGGTCACCTGGTGTGTCAGGGGGTGCTAGCTGAACTGGGGTGGTCTCAGCTGGTAAACTCTGTTTTGCTTTCTGTGGTCTCTAATCCACTACTAGGCTGCTCTGGGCTTTTTCTCCTGGCACTTCTCCTAGGATGGGGCTGAATGACTCTTGAGACCTAGGCTCAGAAGTGACACATGGGCACATTGGCATTGTTTTGGAAAGAGCAAGTCTCAAGCCAACCACTTGGGGGATGGGGAAATAGACTCTGCCTCTTTTATGGGATGACCCACAAAGCCCCATTGTAAAGGCATGTGTAGAGAAAAGAGAAGGGACTGGTCATTTTTAGTAATCAGTCTAGCACAGAGCCTTCTTCATTTTGACTGGAATACAAGTAGGTGGAAGGGAGCTATCCGGTGATGCAGGCTGAGGTTAACCAGACATGTTTATTTCAGATGTAGGCAGCAGTGGGGAAATGCGGAAGGGTTTTCAGTGAGGAAGAAACATCTTCAGAAGTTTGGCTTTAAGAATAAGGTTGTGTGGACATGCGGTGAATAGGAGCAGAGAGCAGCAGGGGAAAGAGTATCTTCTCCATTCATGAAGGTAGACGTTAATGAGTGTTCAAATCAATGTGGTGGCAGTGGAAGCAGAATCAAAGAGCCAGGTAAGAAACTTCCCTCTAAGGACTGAATGGGTAGGACCGCTGATACACAGGAGGCATGAGGGGCAAGTAGCATCTCCTTTCTGCTCTTTCTCTGTTATGCCAAACTCAGATATTCAACATGCATCCTACTATTCTACATGAAGAGTTCCCAGACTTTATTGTCAATGGCTATAGGATAACATAGCATTTAATAATGGGCAGGACAGAATAATCAGGCAATAGAGCTATGGGACTCAGACTCATTGCTTTGATTGACTGTTCTAATGAAGCTAAACTTTCTTAGCACATCCCATACTTGAAGTTTTTTAGAGATTGAGGCTTTAGTTAATTTAGTAGTTTCTTTTCCTGTGATCCCATACTTTCATAAGTCTCTAATTCTAAAACATATATTTAAAACGATATAAGGTTATACAAATATATTCTTTTCAATTTTATTTAAATCAAATAAACCTGTGACCGGTGTGAAGAAGTTTGCAAAGAAACAACATTTCTTTGCAAACAAAAATTTTTATTGAAACAAAAATTTAAAGACAAAAATCTTCATAGTTAATTATTTTATCCTGAAATAATTAAATGCAAAGGATATACATATTAAATGGGCAAAACATGTAGTCATTACACAATGCACATAATAAACATTTTATACTGCTTTATTATAAATAATTGGAAACAATATTTCATTTTTTAAACCCAGATAACAAAAACAGTAAATATCATGCTTTATTTTTTTATTATTTCATTTTAACTTTGTAATGTGAGTTGGGAATAGTATTTCTTATCAAAGACTGGTTTAAAAAATCTGTATAAATACAAAAGAATTAAAAACCCACTTTCATTCTTTTAAACAAGAACAAGGTTTTTAGAGGGAGAGGCTAAACATTACTATGAAAAAGTCACCAAGAATAGAAAAACTGTATAATACCTGCATATATCAGGTATAGGGCAAAACAAGATTGGATACAGATGTATAAAGACTTGATAGTAAATTAAAAAAATACTTTCTTAAAAATGCAACTAGCTCTATTCTTTCAGGTAGAGGGGAGCCATAAAGGCCGGGCAGATCAAGTCACCCAGTTCGAAATTGGTGCTGCTGCCTTGAAAAAAACTTTTATTTTTCTAAAAGGATACCCAACATGTATTATAATGTTCTTATCTCATGTGTTTGATAAAACCTGTTCACAATTGTAAACTTGAACACTTAGAAACAGTAGTAACTTCAAACTGCAACAAAAATATATGCCCAATACTCACTTAAAATAGATGATTTCATAGGCACATCTTCATCAAGAGATTTATAGCAACTAGCAGTCTGAGTGTTCTTATTCAATAGGTGACTATGATCATTTTTGTGTGTTTTTCTTATGGATAATACAGAGTTTTCCCACTTTTCATCACTAATACTAAGTTATAAAAAGTCAAAAACTGCTTAAGAAAATAGAGCCTGAGGGAGAAAAAAATAGAAAAAATAGTGTATTTCTTAAACTAGTGTAGTAGATTTTTTTGAAAACTTGTGTTTATTTGCATGAATTAAGGACAATGTTGTCTATTCCAGATTAAACAGCTATTAGGTTAATCATGGATATAAACACACTATATACAATATAATTCTTTTCTTTTTCATAGACTTCAAAGTGTGCCTTTTATAGAAATTGGAACAGGGTAAATCTGGAGAACATGTTTCAGTTAGTTAGCAAAAATTAAATTAGCATGAAATAACAGGGTAAAGAATTGAAGATCATTATTTTAAAAATAATGAAGTTACACTTATGTGTATACATGCAAGAAAATACTGTAAAATAAACCATTCCAGTTTACTTGGTTTTACTTCAATTTAATACTCTGAAAACCTGCTTTCATGTATAATATCATGGGAAATATTAAATGCATGTATATTATTTTAAGAGCTTGATGATATATTTCACATTCTTTAAGTTTTCCTCAGGCTATAAATATACTTATATATCAGTCAGTCAGTTTTTAAGGTAAATGAAAACTGTAGCACGAAGGGAGAGTTTTTCACCTTATAGGTCCGGATTTGATCATGTCCATTTATTCAGAGAACAGTATCAAAAAACCCAAAGAGTAATGGAGCATGTTCTGACATCACACTGTTATTCTTCATGCACTACAATTTATTATGGTTTCACACAATGGAATTTACATTTGAAGATGGGTTGACTAAAATCAACTGGTAAGTATCATTTAGGAATTAGGCATCTGAAATCCATTAACATTTTACCAACTCCGAGAGCAATGTTGTTCTTCCTGAACTCTTATTAAAATTGTGCAACAGTATAAACTCATTGTTAGCAGGTTTGCATAGAAATAACACCGTTTCACTGGTGTGATGCATCTTTTCCAAAGGATACGGCAGGCCTGTCTGTCTTCTTCATGTACATTCTTTTTGTTGTTGTTCATTTTTCTTCTTCGGTTTTACATGAAATAAACTATATCTGTCATCAGGCTACCACAGTTGCCAAGTAAGCTCCAGCAGTAGTCTGCAACGCAGTGAGCTGGGCAGTTTCTTCCCTTTTTAAAGCATCCTCTACAGTTGAGCCCTATGAACACCGTCACCCCAAGCAGATTTTTGTGAACTCAAAAGACTCCAAATCCACAGTCAAGGACCTTGGTGATTTCACATCATGGCCACTTGTTGCTGGAAGGGGGACAAATTGCTTTGCTTCCAAAGTTTTCAAGCAGTTTTTCATCTGGTAGCGTCTCCAGATTTCCTTGTTGTCTGTGTAACTGCTTCTGACATTGTGCCCTCAAAAATCCAAAGGCCGAATCATCATTGTGGCGGAATGTAAGGAGTAACTGGGCCCTTTGAAGTAATGCCACTTTATCCCGTTCAGTTTTCCTAGGTGTTGCCCCGCCGTATAGAACATTCCGTTTAGATTGGATGGGCCACAAGCATCAAACCACCAGCCTGAAGAATTAGTTAATAATGAAAGAAAGAAGAAACAATTACAAAGAAATTGAACATTTGGAAAACAATGGCATCAACTGAGGGGGTCATTTGCAACTACGAGGCATGCAGCAAATATTTTCTTGGTAGGAGAACCGTTTTAAGCAACATCCTTGATATAGGAACAATCAGAGGGAGGAATGCTCTTCTGGACATCAAGTTGCTGTGTCACTCCACTGGGACACATTCCCCACTGGGATGATGGGAAGCTTCTAGGCTTCAAGTAATGAACTCAGTCAGGGCAAGTAAAATGCAGATACCCTTAAGAGGCCTTCTACCTTCAGCCTATTACTGGGAATACAACAATGAATTATTAGTGAAGAAATTCAGACATTTAGGCCACTGACATCTGAATAGAGAAAAAGGGATGTTTTCCATCTACTTTATAATTTTGCTGGAAATTGGCCCTCAGCTGCTTCTGAAATTAATTGGATACTGGGCAAGGAATATGATGCTCAAGCTAAATCCAGATTTCTAGAGGAAATTTCAGAGAGGAATGCCCTCTCTGAATTTAATAGCAATATGGGAAGTGCTCATCAACAGTGGCCGTTTATTCCTATGGAGCAGTGATTTTCTGAGATTGTTGAAGTTCTTTGAAAACTTAGTAAAAAGAAAAACAAACAACTTGATCAGTGACACGGGCATCCTATGCTTGCATAGCTCTCTACAAGGAGAACTCAGTACTTTATGTTTCTAATGAATTGAGTTCTCAGATTTTTACATAAAACATAGTACTTTTCGTTCTCTCCCGAAGTAACTAACACTGCTGAAATCTTCAGGGAGAAACTGATGCCAGAGACATTCTGGCACATTTTTATTTGGATACAGTTGACCTCCCTTTGATTGTAGAGTTGTACCTAAGGGACTAATAGCTAAAGGAGAAAGCTGCGCAGCTGATGTTTAACTGTAACATGAGCATCATCTTGCAGAAACCTTAAAAAAAGCTAAAAGGAGAAAAGCTAGTTCTCATTTTTCAATTTGAGAAGATGAATACAGCTGGGTTGTGTTTACAGAGTCATATTAGAGACATAACAAGCTGTATTAATTACCCATTCATACTGGGAAACAGGAAGGTATGCTGATGACTTTGGAAAGATGCTGTACTCGACTGTTTTACCAACTGAACACAAACAACACAGATGTCAGTGCCGCGAAAACACGAGGGACGAGGAGGTGCTTTGGCAAAGAAGCAAGAACTGTAAGATTCTACTTTTTTTTCTTAAGATTAATTCCTTTAAAATTTTTTGATAAGCACAACTAGGAAAAATATGCTATTTATATTACAAAAGACATTCTAATAATAGAGAACTCATTTGCTCTGAAGACTCTGAAAGGAGAAAACGAAGCCCAACTCGACTGCTGCAGTTTCCACTTTCTCCTCCTTTCCTCTGACCTTCACGAGCCGCTCTCCCCGCACGTGAGTGAGCCTTTCCTAGTCACCCACATATGCACCATGGCCTCTGAAGTTACTCCATTGTTGAAAACTGCTAAAAATCATGGAACCATCCTCCGGGTTACATCGGGGGACTTAGGGTAAAAGTGTGGTTTTGTTTCATTTAGAGAACATCATGAGAATTTTGGAGGATTGCAGGAAAGCAGGGGTCTGTTTCAGCAGCAGCTTGGCAATAAGGGGCGCTGGCCACAGGATATGTTCATTGGGAAACTCTGGATGAGCTTAATGAAACGACAAGGAACAGCAGGGGACGCGTGGGAGAATCAGATTCACTGATCTTGCGAAACTTTTCTAAGGAGTAAAGCAGGGAAATGTTTGCAGTCAGGAGAATGGCGTTGCAGAGACGTTGAAAGACCTACAGCTAGGTCAGAGTCAACAAGAGCAATAAAGCCTGAAGCTGAGAAGACCTGGAGACCAAATCACAGAGTCTTTTGTTCATTATCCTAAGAAAAATAGAAAGGCGTGGTCTATAGTCAGGCCCTTGCTGCGTCCTTGGGTTCCTTAGCACGGCACCTAACAGAGCGCTTAGCCAGCGACTGACAAGTGACTACAGGTCTGTTGACAGATTGACTGACTTTGTTTCTTCTTGTGAAGTCTCTGTGGTATGAAGTAATCTAGTTTACAAATAAGTTACATTTGATAAACCATCCATGCTTATTATATTTATTTTTCATTACTTCTTCATTCGCTATGTAATTATTGTTACATTGTCACACAATATTCAGTAAGATAAACATAGTCCCTGACCTCATGGAATGTACTCCTAATGTGGAAAACAACCAAAAAGCAAGCAAGTCAATAAATCCAAATGAAGAACAACCAAAAAAAGTAAAGCAAAGCATCAGAGAGCTATGGAGAAGACTAGCAGGGGATCTACTTGACTTTGCACAGTCACAGAAGAACCTGCTATTTCCTGAGACCAGAAGGATGAGAGGGAGGCCACTTCATGAAGACAGGAAAGACTCTCCCCCGCACGGCACTGCACGTGCCTATGCCATAAAGAAAGCAAGCTTGGAGGGCTCAGGGCCTCGGAGAACATCTGTGTCACTGTTGGAGTGAGCAAGGGGGAGACTTGGAGGAATAAAGGTGAGAGTAGGCAGGCTTGGTAGAAAGTTGCATGATGGTCATGGAAAAAATGTACAGTTGATTCAGCCTGCTTGTCCAACATCAGGTGGACAAGTAAAACATTTCTAGGATTGGGAATCGACATTTAACCAGGGGAACTCAATCTGTCAGGTTAAATATTTAATAGGTAGAGCCCTCATTCTGTAACTACACTCTGCCAAAGCCACCCTGAGCACATGCAGCAGCATGACAGAGGGGAAAAACATAAATCTAGGATCAATGAAACAAACATTAACCAACGGGCAGACATACAGGTCAGAGTTAAGTCAAACAAAATTCCTGACATTAAGGAGTGCATGGTTTTATGTAGGAAAGAGACAACAAACTATTAAAAAAATGAAATAATAGCCATTAAAAGATTTTTAAAAATCTCATAAACAGAGACAGAAAGACCTGTTTGGGGGTCCGTAAGGCCCACTCATTCACCAGCTGCGCTGGGCCCTGAAGGGTGGGTGTCTCTGGACAGAAAGAAATTCTGAAGACAATCTGTACGTACTCTGGGAGAACAGGACAGAGTGTCCACCAACAGCCTGGGTTGGCCAGAATGTCAGTGGGTGAGGGAGTGCAGAATAAAGGCTAGCAAAATAAACAGGAGTGACGAAAACAAAGATTTTTATTATATTTAATTTTTTTTTCTAGTGGGCACTAGGGAGTCTGTGAGCAGCAGAGCAGAAATGAGAAGACCCTGACTTCGATGCTGACTCCACCAACTAATAACCAAGAGATTTTAGGCAATAATATAAATACCGTTTGATATTTTTGAACAGTTAGTATGTGTCAGACGCTCTGTTAAAACATGCACCTGTACTTTCTCATTTTATTCCCCAAGCAGCCTTATGAAGTGTCATTAGTACCATAGTAAAGACACCAATGCTCAGATAGTTTAAGGAACTTCTCCAAGGACACACAGCCACTTAGCTCTTCCTACGTAAGGTGTGGTTTATTAATGGCTGATCAACAATTTTTTCAGCGCAGTGCTTTGTGAAGTTTCCTAGGAAGTAGGGCTAGGGCAGAAGGTTTAGAGCAGGAACAAAAAGGATCAGATCTGCGGGCACCATAATGGTTTAATAATGAAGACCAGGTTGTCAGTGCCAGCACAGTCCCTTATTTGCTTGGTAGAGATTATTAGAGAAATATGAAAATAATTTAGACTCAAAGAGTTTAGTTGCACAATGTTTACATTGTAAAGACATGGCATTTAAATACCCAATATGGGTTTTGTTTTCAAATATTTGTTTGATTTCATGAAAAAAATCAGAGAGCTTAAGGTGTTCACTTATTACTTTATCTTCAGACCAGTGGGCCATACACACTGTGAACTATCAGAGCAATTGATGATAATAGATGATGAATTAAGATGACAGAAGACAAAATAAAGAGGCATTATTTCTCATGACAATTTCAATTGTAGTATCCTTTATAAAATATCCTGAACTTCAAGGTATCAAAAGTAGTCATTTCTGTACAAGCTGGTATTGTGTTTTTTCAGGCATATGAATGGATGGACCTGGAGAACACTATGCTATGTGAAATGATCCAGTCAGAGAAAGACCATATATAAAGACCACATGATTTCACTCATATGTGGATCTAATGAACAAACTGAACTAACACGCAAAACAGAGACAGACTCACAGACGGAGAGCAGGCTGACAGCCGAGGTAGCGGGAGAGGTGCTGGGTGGAGGGGCTGAGCAAAAAGGAAAAAGGACTCAGGGACGTGGACAACAGCGTGGTGATTGCTTGGGGGAAAGGGGATAAAGGGACTAAATAGTAATGGACAAATAAAATAAAAATTAAAAAAATTCTTTGTATCAAATATTTTACTTTGCCAACTTTCTACCTGTCTCTGAAAAAAATGAAGCCTGACCAGGCCCTTTAAACAAATCCTTAAAAGACACAGTTTTAAAGCATATTTATGGAAAACAGGCAGAAAGCACAGCAGACTCTTGGCTCCTCGGGTGCACTTCTGGGCATTTGTGGATAATCACACGTAAGTTTGCACGGAACGAAGGTGTTGTCTGTGAACACAGAGGACGCCTGGGTTTGCGTTCCTCCCGGGTATCATAACAAACAGTTTAATCGTGTATCCTCTACAATCCTGGGGAAATGTTCACTTTGCCCTTTGTTCTTTAGGTAACTGGGGATAACTAATAAGCAATATGCTAAACAAGTTAATCTAGGAAAGGCGCTTGAAGCTTGAAAGAGCTCGGTGATGTCAGCAAAGGAGAGAGGAAAGGAGTAGCTTCCATCTGCTGTTGGGACAACTGATAAAATGTCTCAAATGCTTTAAAACTGGCGACTGCCCAGATGTACTTTGCCAAGCATTTTTCCTCATAACCTGTAACCTCATGTATATTTTAATAAGAAATCTGAGATGCGTG